CCCCACCCATGCCAACCTTCTCCCCAAGAGATAAGCTCGCCCCCTCCTCCGGCAGCAGCAGGGAGGGCTGGAAAAATCCCCCCCCCAAGCAGCAAGACCATGATTTTCACCCCAGGCTCCCCACCTTGCACTGGGGGGTGACCTGCGCTCCCCTCCGCCCCCCCAATGAATCTCCACTCTTTGTAGCACAAAGACAATTTCCCTCCTCCCCGCACCAGCGGTTGCACTTCAAAAAGTTGAAGGCAGCAGCGACATTTTTCCTCCTCCTTCCCTTTGGGAAAGCGAGGGGGAACACCCCACCCCCGGGGAATGAAAGGAAAGTTTCTTGGAAACAAAAGTCTATCTGCCAAAACAATACCTCTTGTCAGGTTCCTGGCTCATGATCCATAATCAGTGGAAAAGATTTAAAAAGAGAACAACCTGCCAACTGGCTGGAGAGGACTGCTGAAATTCCTGCAGGTACTGATGCTGGAGCCACAGCCACTGTGAGAAATCAGGTTGAACAGTCCAAGACTGCTTTCTGCCCCTGAGCCCTGGAGAAGGATGAGGGAGAACAACAGTTAGTTTTTAATCTGTTCTGAGCAAAATTCACAGATGAAAACATTCACATTGCTCAGGAATCACCTTTTGAAGCTGATAACCCCAACACAAACATTCCAGATTACAAATAAAATAAGCCCGGCACCCATTTAAAGCAGAAGTCTGGAAATGAGTCCCAAACCTCGCGTGGCCAAGTTCTTCTAAAAACAGCCCTTGTCAAAGCTGCCAGGGACAGGTTACAAGCAGCTGGTCCTGTCCTCCACCTCCTTCCTGGATCTTGTGGCTGCTCTGTCAAGTCACGAAGCATTCCCCAGACAGACCGGATTCTCCTTGGCACAGTGACCCGTGCAAAGTTAACCTAGAAATCTCCCTGTCAAATCCTAGGGCAAGACAGAAATTGGGAGCTCACTGTAGCAAGTAAACAGCCCTTGCCAAAATTTCAAACGCTGGTGAAACATCGTTTGGGAAGAGAATGTTTCAAATGCTAAGTGGTGAGAATCCCCAAGGAGCAATACCGAAAGCCAACGGATGCTCAGTCGACCTCAGCCCATCACGAGAAGATGGATGGAGATCCAAAGAGGAGCAGAGAAAATCCCACTGCATGTCTGTGGTCAGCGGAGCCCTGATGAAACCTCCCGGTATGGCTGGGAGCCTCACACCAGTCTCTTCCACAGCGCAGGACTGGGAACAAACACTGGAAGAGGCTGCAATTCCCAGCACCAGGCAGGTGGGAGCAGACAACCCGCAGGGAAGCGCTCTGTGAAAAATTAACACTAAGGAAAAGCAAATATGACTTAATGATCCAGGTGGGTTGCTATGCCTGCAGCTTCTCAGAGACCCTGTGTGCTGGGGGGCCAAGACAAGCCCTGGCCACACACAGCTTGTGATCTATATCACTTTAACTGTGTCATCTACCACTGCTTTGACCCTGGAGATCATACAGCAGAAACAGCGTAATATTGTCTGAGAAAAACAGAGTGTGTACCAAGCAGTACCCCCAAACCCCTTCTTCCAAAACTGACTGCATTTGGTAAAACCATCTGCACTGAGAATAACTGCTAAGGAAGAAAAGCATATAAACTTGGGGAAAAAAAATAAGGAGACATTTTCTGAAGAAATGCGCTAACCAGGGAAAAAGGTAAAGCAGGCTTTATCAGAGCGACATTTTCTCAGCTAGCTCTATCAGTTGCTATTGCATCTAAAATTCATACCCTATCCTGCCCCTGAATTAATTTCATGTCTAAGCAAATCCCAAGTTAAATCCTGAAACTGGTGTATCCAGTATGCTTTACAAGATGCACTGGGAGATAGCAAGGCTGGAAGGTAAAAATTCCTCTCAGATCTTGTTTAGCAGAAGCTGGGGATTAGCAAACCAGTAATGAGAAACTGAGTACGCAAAGAGCAGAGTCAAACACCTCTGTTCCTCAAAAGGGATTCAGAGAAATACCTAAGGGTGTTTGGTACTTCTGGGTGTGCAGAATATGAACCAGTCTCTTGAAACTGGTCCAAGTAACATGAATTTTCTGTAGCCACACAGAGAAAACATCATCGCAAGTCCCCGTCAGACCCCTCAACCCATACGTGGGGCTGCCCTGGTACAACACCACATTTGCTTAATGAAATGGTTTCAGACTCCTCATCCCACTGGAAGCTGGTCAGAATTTCTCACAGGCCACCCTCGATGCTTACTGTCAAGCTTTTAATTAAACACATGTTAATGGCAACAGGCCACCCCACAGCCTTGCAGCTTACGCTTTGGAAATCACCACTTCGTGCCCAACAGAAGCAACGCCCACGTCTTTCCAGCTCTGCAGTTGGCTCAACATTTTTCAGTCTATGTAATTCAAACGGTAATCCGAGAGTCCCTGCAATTTAAATTGGATCATCACATCTTCATCAACATAGTAAGAATGTTTGAGTAGTTTTTGTAATTACTAGTAAACGTTGCCTGCTGTTTCAGGATACTTCATAATCTCAGTCACAGATTTTGATGCAATTTTCAAGGATTACATAATCCCAGTGAGCTGTGATATTATCTGCCTTGGATTTTTTGCCTTTAGCACATAAAGATAAAAGGAGAAATTACCTTACTACACGGAGTCCTCGTCTTTCATCTTGTGTTACACTAAATGGTAATTAATCAGGGCTTTTCCTGTAGCCATCCATGAGAAACAAAATCCCACACTCTGTTTAACTTGGAATCCAATACACAAACCCTACAAAATCCAGGTGACTGGCTGTTTTGTAGCTCCACATAAGAGTCTCCTCTGTACTTCAGATGCTGCA